CAAGCCGTGTTATCAATAAAGTATCGAGAAGTCAGCTACCATGGCAGCTAAAGATCTTTACAGAAGTGAGTCACAAAGTCCACGTGTCAGAATATCAGTTCATTGAAGATTATTTGAGGCACTGCTACTGGCTTGCCAGAGCAAACCTGCCAATATTAATCCCTAGATCATTACAGCGCTACGTTGTAGTAGAGCAAGCAATACTTATTTCTGCATGGACACGATCTGTTTTACTTGTCTTAATTGAAACAAGCTGTATATCCTTTTAACAAATGGACGATCTAAACAAATACAAGAACCAGACAATTTTTCTTTTTTTGATTGGAAAACAATACTTGGTTCCATCAGAGCTTCTTTTGTACCTGAGCTAATATGACCTATGTTGTACCGGAGCTGAAAATTAAGGAAGTGGATGAGGGAGTTTCCAAAGAGAAAAAAAAGATAAACAAAACAAAACAAAAACAACCAATATAAATTCGCCAAAAAGTAATAATAATAAATAGAAATAAAAATGAACCAACATCTTCGGGCTGTAGACTGTAGCTACCCTGAAATTTCTTGTATAGTTCAGGTATTTTTTTTTTAATTTGGACAACATAGTATCAAAATGTATTGGAATAACCATGCATACTTTTGTTTCGAACTTTTGGTTTGTTAGTATCCAGCTGTACGTTTAAAACCTCGCTTTAGTGTAGATCCCACACACTAACAGTGACGTCATACAGGAATGACAGAACCAACTGTTTGTAAACGTTTTTGATCTATGTTTTCCAACGGACCGAATGTCCCGTGAATTCTATCACTGGACAAAAAATCTTCTCTGTAGCTGACTGATAATCTCGTGAACAACATCTTCATCTTGAGTTGGATCTTAATATGATTACCGGCAATGTCCCCTAAGGGTGAATCCATACGGCCCTTGTCTCTTGTTCCGTTACGCCTGGGTTGCTCTGTGTCATCTGTCGGACAGATACTATGAGATTATTGCAGAGTTATAATCTCAAGCTTGAAAAAAATGAAGGAGTTAAATTCTTTTTTCATCTCGAGATTATAAACGGGGTACGAAACCAGAACATACGGCCGGGCCTTCAGCAAAGACTACGTTGTGGCGCTATTGTTTTAACTGTATATTGAATTTTCCGCATGCATGTGACTCTCAACCTACAGACATCGCTGCCGGTAACATTCTTATGTACTACCAAGTTCAAATTCGACGTGTCTGAAATTATTTTAGTATGATGTGCATTCCGGTGAATTGACATCTGGAATTGTTTTCATTTTCTTTATAATCCTTGTTTTGAGGCGGACAATATTTGTTGGCAATTTATTTGCTACATTTCATGTGTTGATGTTTTCCCCCACTTTAAGACCCACACTGCAGATGGGCTTGTTATAACTAGCAACATTTTATTTGAGGTATAACTGCGAGGATGATAGGCTTCTACCCCCTTCAAGCCTCACTTTTCAGCACTGGATGCAATCTTAACTACACAACTGTTTCTAGCGAGGGGGGAACTTGCCAGATACACACTGTCATTCAACGTAAACCCCCTAAGTGGACAGTCGAAAATGACACGGCTACACATGAGCATCATCGGTCGAATCTGCCGGGTTGGACTGCTGTAATTACATAAAATGAAGTGGGGAGAAGGCCAGACATGAGTAGCGATTTCCCAGCAATTCTGACCTGGCTTCCTATTCACCTGTCGACTACCGACAGCAACACTCTAGGAAGTTGAAGCAAACATTTTTTTTAACATTGCAAACGGCTTAACTATGGTGCTGCTGAAAAACTTGGGCCCTGATTCAAAAATCATTTCTAACAATTTCCCAGAGCTGTTCTACTGCGCTCTCCAAGTGTACTGGCCAAAATGACCTTGACTTTTTCCAACGCAGACTGTATTTACCATGGCCGGTATAAAAATCGTGATCATAATTACCACGGCCTCACTTTGTGCAAGTTTGCATCTGACGAGTATTCCTTTTCTGACATGGTTTAGTCTTACTTTCAATCATTTTGAAATCGAAAGCTCAGTTGCTCTTCTCAAGACATACATTTTGGTGAGCTCCAAATTAGCATTCATATCATAAGCTTACTCCCGAAAAAGGGGACCGGTAGCAATTTCTCACTTAAAGTTTGTAATCAACCATTCTAAAAACACATTTCTACATTATTGTTATGGTGACTATTTGATTCATCAGCAGCACAAATTTGCTTTATTTAATCAACGTCTGCACTAGCTGGGAATGACGTTCATCAAATTGACGAGACACAACGTCCTACTCAGAGCAACGCACTCTCAAATGTTTTAGTTTTCTCGAACTTGTTCTGAATCATGCCATGAGGCAACTAAAGAAATGCTACCAATAATTCTTTTGTCCGTTTGTCACATGCAAAAACAAAGATTACTTCACGTAAGTTTGTTTGTGCAGAGAAAATACCCAGTTATTGTCTAATGACGTAGTTCTCACGACTTGCACTTTGCTACAGGTAGTTCGTATACTCTTACATAGTTTTCCCTTACATTCACTGCCCGCTACCGGTCCCCACATTCAAACCCCGAGGGACAATAAATACATATGCGACAAAGATTCACACACACCTAATGTATTCTCTAGGCCCTATGAGGCATGTTCTGAACTGCTCATGCGCCAAAATCCGCCTTTTGATCATGCGGGGAGATTGATGATTTGGTGTTAAATGCCACTGCCAAACTTGAGTGCATTTGTCATCGCGTCGTGTTTGAATATTCCCACATACTGTAAACAAAGCTGGGAATTATCTATTCCACAGTACCAATTTCAATCTATTTTGGAAGGATGGGACATCCTGTTCTATGACCAAAGGATGGATTTGACTTGGATATTAAAGATGCATAATTCGGTACCCGCACTAAAAAAAAATCGGAATGTGATCATCGGGTTTATTACATTGTGCTTTTTAAAAAAAAATTAATTAAGAGTACCGATGACTGAACAACTTTGTGCGAAAGGAAGCGATTTGTAATCTTAGTCGGTGGTATCAGAGCTAAAGGAGTTGGAGGTGTCAGCAACCACCTTCTTTACCTGCAGAGTAGTTTTGTGAAAAAATGGAATTTTTCATTCGGCCAAAGTGGAAAAAACAGCTGCTAGCTGAGGTCTTAATATTTTGCTATCAAAACATGATGCATTATAATGCAGAGAAAGCATCCTCCCTTCAAACTTTGCCAGGGAGCTTGACCCATACCCATCCCTGCATGACATTCCTTCGGCTTGCTCGAACCCATCAAATTATCCTTATAAGAAATGCTGGATACGCGCCGTGGAACACGAACCTCTGGTTGACGTTTCTTCTTTTCAAATCTTTCGAAACGCCTTGGCCTTTCCCACCTTCTTGAAATGTGTCAACTTAATGTATTCTCCGTTTGCAACGGGTTGCCTTTTGTGCTTAAGCGTGCAATTCAGTCCTAACGTCATTTAATGGTTGGCACCACATGCATTGATTTCGCCCTGCATTTCTCTGAGGTCTTCACCCACGATTCATTTAGAACCACCACTGATGAGATGATGGCTTATTACAGGGGGCATGAAATTTGCGCATCATCGCACTGTACATGATTGCACTCCCTTTCCCAGGCATCGACAGTCGTGACATTTTGAAGAGGAATGTGCTTGGTGGAAGCTGAGTGAGGTTTGGAAATCACATTACCAGCCGGATGCCGTAAATAAACATTCACTATTGGCAGATAATGACTGGGGAACATCGTTTGCGATCAAGCTGACACATCTCTGAAAGAAACGAATTAGCCATCACTGTTTGACTCATTATCCAAACATTTGAAATTAGCCCATAAACATTGCATATCTCCCAGACAGTAATATCAAACAGGAATGGTAACATGAGTATATGTCAAGCATAAACTTGTGCAGACCCTCCTTCCTTTACAATTCCGTTTGTTTGTGAGAGTTAGAAGGTAGAGTGAGCCACTCGAAGCTATCGGGTAAATAACCCACCAAATCATCAGTCAGATAACAGCTGCACTTGGTTTAAATGCAGTTATGGCACCAAACTCTGAAGTTATTCCATCTTCCATGAAGAAAAGAAGATGAAAGACTCTAATTGTATTAGTGTGTGACCATGTTTTTAGACATTTCCGTGCATCCGTCAAAACGGATTTCCTGTGCTTTCTTAAAAGTGAAGGCCCTTGCATTTTGGCAGACTGTAAATACTCTACGGAGGGCTTGCATGGTTGCCATCTTGCAGGCCAGCTGTTATATTTCACAGGGTAGGCACCGGGGGTCCCTGTGAAACAAAAGAACTGCCTTGCAACATGGCTACCTGGCAAAGCCCCTATTGGTTGAATAATTTTGACGAGTGGCCTGACTTTGTAGTTGGGCACAACTCAGAACGTGACCTAGCAACTTCTGAATATCATCCTGGTATCAAATTGTACTTTCTCGGAAGGCACAGAGCGCCATCACGTTGTATTAAGTCTCTTAAAACGAAAACAACATGAGCAAATAATAGGTGATCTGCTCTACCGTTCAGTGATGACAAACTGCTAAAATTGTTATCAAGGTACATTCACTGCACACACAAAAATATTTTTTCATGTCTGAGACATTATGACACAAAAGACTTCCAAACGTTGCATTAAATAGCGCTGTGGCAGAACGCCTAAACAGATCACCGGAGTACCGAAAAGTACTCCCAAAATTTCCGGGATGTGTGTCAGGCCCGTCAGATTTTGCTATTTCCGACTGTTGCAAACATGATAACGCATGTTAATATAAAGGAAACTCCCGAAAGAGAGATTAACAACTTATCGGGTCAACTTATGAGCCGATCTTTGTTTCTATTTGAGCAAAGCTTATGGGACAAGTGATTAGGTGCTTAAGGGTAATTTGCAGTCTTGTCTTTGAAACTACCTTCAGTAAAGTGTAATATGGATGAACATTATACTTGCCTCCATAGTTAAAAGACAGACTACTACGGTCTTAATGTAATGGCAAGGACTTACCGATAGTACTGATAACAGTCAGGGAGAACAACATAGAACCTACGAACGACCACTTCTGTACGTGCTCTCCGTCTACCTCCAAGTCGTAATTATAGAAATGGATGAAGTCTTTCTGGAGTAGGTTAAGTTCTTGAAGTGCCTGCTGTGTCCAGTTCTCTCTCTTCATCCCAGACACGGCATCGTACATCTTCATGAAAAAGAACTTCTTGTCGGCGTGCATTTCTTTCCGCATTCGGGTCTCCACGGGTGCCTCGATAGCCTGAAAGACGAAGGCACCAAAGACGAGATAGCCAGCGAGAATGGCCGTCAGGCCCACATAGGAACACATGAACTGTAGGAAGACGCGCATATAGTAGACGCACTGCACCTTCAAACCTGTCCGCTTGGGGGTCGAGGGGACGTCCACGAGCGGTGCTTCGTCCAGCTCAAGGATAGTAGGGGCCGGTGCTGGTGACTGTGTCACAACCCCCGCCGGGTTGGAGGATAGGTTGTCCATCGGAATACCATCCATTGTTCGAGTTCACCGCTAGGGACTATTAACTTGGAGGAAATTCCCTAGAACCATGACTCATCATGGGTATTCTTAGGGCGAGGGAATATGAAAATTGTTTGCTGGCGTCATTTTGTAAATAATTTTGTAAGTAGTAAATGTTGTAATATATCGTCTGATGACGTCAACCTTTTCCCATTATGAATGCGAAATCTCGACTTTTTTTAGCTCCATCAGCAATAAAACATTATGTACAAGTATTTTTAATTGGCAAAACGTCCTTCACACGTCAGGGCGAATTTGTTTCAACCCACGCCATGGCAAATTCAGAATACGTGGTGTACTTGGACTGGAGTTCACACAAGGCATGGTTACACTAAGCGTAGAATTGAGGCCGGGTAGAGACGATCAGTAACTGCGTTGTCACGCCTGAGTGGTCTTGTCTTCTTTTTCAAGGCACTGCAATTGCACGCTAACATCAACGCGGGCTACGTCGCGTGTCGGCACAGATGATTGGCTTTAACGGGAAGGTGGGTGTAGAGACACTCCGAACCAGGGTATTGCCCGCGCCCACTCACTTGCCTCTTACGTTACTCCCTGCTGCCTGGTGGTGCTTGTTCAGAGGTCTAGGTTGCCTGTCGTTGCAAGGATAGCATGGGGGGGATACTTTATAGTATCGATCCAAGAATAGGTGGCAACGTCCACGGCGCAGCGGGCACAAAATAATGCATAACGATATCAGCGTGTGAGGCGCTTGAGCCCGGTGTTCATAGAATGTCGAACTGGCGTGAACTAAGCCCGCAAAAGCATACCAGTCCTCCAACGTGGTCTGTGCCTTAATTGATCCAAAATAAACCTTAATGTCGGGGGAGGGCGCTGGGTGTATTTACCCGCTGACTGATGTTACTCTCAGCATGGGCAACAGATAAACAGAAGGGGGACGAACTCGGCGACTTGGGTCATAGTTGATTAGTTGACATTTCACTGATTCTGACCACCGAGCAGATTGGTTGCTGCTGGTTGTTCGAATCTTTATTTTCTTTTTGTTTTCTCAAAGAATTTTTTTCCAGCTGCAGATATGTAACTGTTTCACGAGTATATACAAAAATCCAAACGCAGTGAAGACAGGTCTATAAACGACAGAGTCCTGCCCGCTCGGGTATAGGTGTCTTCAGCTCATGCGAGCACAGTGTTCGGAGTTCATGAGAAAAAAATGGATCTGAAACTTACTTTACGTCTGGAACCGAACAGCTTTGACGGATATCCAGTCGAGGTGGCTCCTACATTTCAGTTAATTAGATCCCTTGAACAATTAATATAGCTTCAGCCTTTGCCCAGCAAAATCACATTAAAGCCCTGGAGCCCGCCTATCATCACTCTCACATAACTTAATTGTCCATAGTTCCGAAAGAACTGTTGGCGCGCTACTTATTCGTGGACAGCAAAACTCTTCCACGGTTGCACCATGTGGGCACCTGAAGAGGGAAACCGTCGGCTTCTTGTGGCTAACTGGTACAGAGTGTTTCGTTTTCACGCAGTATCTCTCAAATTGTGACGAAGAGTTGCCCATTTACACAATATCTTCCATACATACTTGCAAAGCGGAGCGTACGAAAATTGCTGAGGAGGAACTTCTGATGTGGCACACTTTAAAGAGATTCATCTTTCCAAGTAAAACAATAATGGCAGTTGCGTTATTTCGCCTGAAGCAACTCAGTTGCGTCAAAAGGTTTAATCAGAAGTTTCCGCAGATCTTTACTACTGAAAAATGTTACAAGTAAGCCGATGCCTCACACCGTACACGCACAAGTTAGGCGGCGAGCATATGTACAACATGCGTCAAGGAGACTTCGCGTAGTGTAGACAGACTGTGATCTGCACCCGCTTCGAATACTAACTGGCCATCTGGCAACTACGTCATTGCTTACCGGTAGATAGCACGACCAATACGCCTGGGTAGGTTAAATCTTGTCCTACGCCGCAACGTAGTGACGATATGAAAATCATTAAAGTGGTCTCATCGAGGTGGGTGGTGCGTTCACAGGGTGTAGGGATGCCTATTTGTTCATTGGGCTGTCAGTAAATCCGGTGCGGAACAGCCGCCATCTGCTGGATAATGATAGCACTGTATTAATTTCAAAGATTTATTTCATTTTTGTCTGTGTTCGAGCTCAAGTTAACGTTTGTTTTTATAAACGGCTTGTCATTAAATTCAAGAATGTAACCTTTTCATATCAGCAGAAAGACAGATCACGAGGTGGCATCAAAGAATTGTATACGACCAAGCTAAGCGGGAATTAATGCTAGATCCCTTTGCCTATTTATAAAGTACAATAATAGTCTTTAAAGGGGGGAGATAGTTAAAGTGTAAGTTCCCTAAGAAAGCTTTCATTAATGCTTCTTAAACATGAGGCTAACTGTGGGTGCAAAAAATTGAAGAATTTACATGTGTAGTTTATTGTAATGTAATACAGTCGTACCCACAGTTTATGAACTAAAGTCGTTTAGGATTTTAGAACCCCTCATAAATCCTGAATGTATATTGACTTGGGACTTTGCATGCTTAAATGGAAAAATGAAATACATTTTTCTTGGTGTAGTGGTACACCGCTGGGGGGTCAGCTTTCAATATTATTTGGGACAGCGTGTGTTTGACACCACCTTAGAAAAGACATCTGCAACACAAATAGCACCTGACCATTTCGTCTTTATTTCTGATGTCTTGGCCCCCCAAATATACCCTTTTTTACCAAGTTGTCTGTAAAAAATACAAACAAAAGATAGTGAGAATTGACGTACGAAATAGCGAGTAAGGACTCAACGAATAAATGCACAGTCACAACTCAGTTCAACACTTACATGTCATACTTGTGCATGTATACTGTTTGTGGGCAACGGAGCAAAATGTGGCCAGAACACGGAGGTACAAATCCTAAAATTGATGCATCCCAAACTAACATAAAGTTATTATATGCATCCACTAGTGAATCTCTCAGGCACAAGAAATCACAAACCGGTAAAGGTTTTATTCACCACAAGCTCCGGAAGAAATAACCCCTTTTTAGCTCAGCATATTTGCCATGAAAAGAGCTCATGGTGCACTCGTGACCAAGATTGAAAGACGGCAGACTTGCACCATAATCCGCGCGTCTTTGTCAATCGGTGCGTCCTCTCACAATTATAAATACACCCGAAGTAAACTTACACAGAACCCTAAATGGTAAAGTTTTATTTCCTTTTTCATTTTATTTTACTGCCTTAAAAGAACACAATTGGTTCCCTACATTTGTTGAGCATGAATACAATCTTCACATTTCTGTAGGTTGTGATGAGTTGCAAAAGTATACTTTTTGGATGCAAAACGAAATGACACCTAGACTGGCTAGTAGCTAAGAATATAAAATTGGGTCTAGAAATAGAGTTGATGCCTGTCCTATGAACTGAGGCAGTCTCCCACATCTTATTCACTTTTTGTGCAAGTTTAAACGCTACTTTAGTGTATGAAAACTGTTCGAAATCTTTTTGCAGTTAATTAAGTGAACTATAAAATGTACTTTTCAAACATTCAAAATTGACCAACCTGTCCAGAGAAGTGAGGGCGCTGTAAGTGTGATGTAAACCTACGAAGACTTTGTTCTGTTTGCATGCTTTCATGATCAAATTTTGAAACCTAAATTTGCTCTTCGAATACGTGTCGGAGAAAACGTTGATCGCTGGCGCATTGCCAAATGCAACAATAATTTGCCAAAGTTAATCAACATTTACGATATCGAAGTATAAAATATCCAGCAACCTTTGTGCACATGTCAGTGTGCAACAGTTTTACTAGTGAATATTCAAAATCGAATCAGCATGAAATCTAAAAGGCTCTGCAAATTACGAGGGTAAAACAAAAATTGAAAGTAAGGTTAATTGAAACGCAAGGATGCAATTTCAAGGATTTAGTATTTTTGTATTACACATTCCCTTCAGGGCACAAAGTGTATCCCTATTACATGCACTAGTATACGCCGAGAGCTGTGAGAAATTGCGGTCTCCATAGGACGAATGTGAAACATTATTATTTGTTTTACACAAACCCTGAACAAATTCCAACCATATCTCTGTATCTGCATCCTAATCCATGAAACACTCGAACGAATTGAAAATACAACATGACCCTCAAAATGTAGCTTCTATTTGCGGGTGGGGTGGAAATTTTGTTCCGTGATTGGTGTTTTCAAGATGTATTTTTTTTCCGTGATTGGTGTATTGTTGATCAAAAGACAATAAATTGTTCGTCCTGAGGCAAGATGCTGCCTCAGCACCACCAGCCCATCCGCAGACAGAGGCTACATTTTTAGGGTCATGCTATGGCCGCAGCCGCATCTTGCTTTGGGACGAATAATTCATTGTCTTGGGACACACCAAGCAGAACGATGCTGTATAATCAGGGACATCCATTTTAAAGAAACTATAGATCTTTAAGATCAGTTTGAAACAATCTACCGCACGGTCTTTTATGAATTTTTACCCAACTTGAGTAGGGATATGAGGGATTTCAAAAAGTGATTGGATCAACAACCTTTCGGCTAATGGGATGTAGGCCTCGTCAGCCGCGCTGATGTCCTCAGACTGTGATGTCACACTAAGAACACAGAGGGTACTAAACTATGCGTGTATGCAATCTTGGTAATATCTTGATGTAGCATTATTATATATTTTCTGTTGCTATTGGATTGTCTTTACGTGAACAGATAAACTTGTAACTACTTCAACAAGGTTCAGGTATTTCTTTTCACTCAGTCTGATTTGATCGCTAAGGGAGCAAAGTTAACAGTGCCTTCCATGTTGCTTACTCGTGTGTCCGTTCATTTCGATTACCCCATCGTTACAACTCAAAAGCAGACTTGTTGGCGAGAAGCACTCACCTTTATTCCACTTCCTGGGTAAGTACAACGGCGTTAGACTGTTCTGAAATCGAGGGAGAGGGTTACGCACAGTGTAGGCACCACCCGTGTTTATTAAATGCATCATGGATTTGGCTTCAATATAGGCATGGTAAAGTCATTGAGCGACAGTCAATTGGATATTGGTGGGTGTCGGGGAATGCAAGATAAAAGGAATGCTGTGATGATATATGGCAGGGGGATGTACAAGCGATTCTTCTCTGCCCTGCTATCTAATATCAAGATGTGCGGCTGATTGCAAAACGGATCAGTCTGTTACCAGGGAGGACATGTGATTACAGTCGTAATTGGCAGTATGATGTAAATCGTATGCGTAAAGTTCACGGCATGCCGAAATATTTTCCTAAGCAAATTCAAGTATTGAAGAAATGCCCCAACCTACACAAACGTAGGCTGTGTGAAGTCATGTATGAATTCAAACACTTCTATATTTTTGACAAAAATAATTACCACACAGCCGCTGAAAGTCGATTCACTTTTACTTGAATGGTAGCACCTTGGACTGTTCCTTCCTGATAAAATCTATACTGTCAAGGGAAATGCTCACTTCAGTGCAATAAAGGTCAAATAATCTACAGGGTTGACAGCTATATTGCTGTCTTCCTTTCTGTTTCGCCCGGTTTAACGCTACAACACTTTGCAAAGCAAGTATGTTTGCTACAAAACTTGGGTGACGGGCACAGTATATCCCAAAGCTGCCTTAGTGCAATTTGGAATGTCTGCTCTCGAACCTAATGTCTAGTTTCCAATCAGATCTCATTTTTTGCCTTTGAATAGAGCCTAAAGCAGGAGAGCATGCTGTTTGAGGCCACTCCTGGTGTCAAGCCAACTCTGTCAGCCTTTCTTAATATCGCGCAGTAACAGCCTAATTCTCTTACTATCATCCATATACTATTAGTGTCGTTTTGCGCCCAACTCGAGTACATCAGCCACATTACATCGACCAAGTCACATTGTGTTCAGGGTGAATGACGGGTAAACCTCTCTCTCTGGCACAAACTTTAATGCAGTCACATCCAATCAACAACCGCATGAAAATGAATAAAAGAGAGCGAAAAAAGTCAACAGCAAAATTGCCGCTCTCTTGTTTGCCCTGTGTAGTTTGAGATGGCTCGTCTGTCAAACCCTGCTTCTAATCTGAAATGGGGGAAATTGCTCAGCCAGTCTGCATGCCAATAAGGACATGATACCAGTTTGGAGAGTATCAGACACTCTTCGAAAGTCTAATAATTTAATGTACATTTCTTCCTCAGGGCAACACAGCCACAATAAAAAAGAAGGACATCAAAATTCGATTAAAGAATCTTTGTAAGTTGGCGTCGTGGTATTCAACCGAAGAGGGTGTTATTTTTCTTTTTCTTTTTCTATAAGGCATCCAGCGCTAGGCTAATCATTTCTCATTCAGTCTGCCACACACAGATCATGACAAAACATTCCAACCGTAATGTTCTGAGAATGTTTATCATAATCAAGTTACGTATGCTAAAAGGGGCATATTATTCAACTCCACTGCGTTTCCTGTATTAATCCTCGGCAATCAGCGTCGTATCGTATCGATCCAATGTTTGTAAAGTTCAGTCGCAAAAGTTTCAACCGATTTTGCCAAGCAGGCGCTGTTATATGTTATATAATGAGTTTTAAAAGGTGAACATTCACAAGCAGCTAATATAAAGGTCACTCTAGAAAATCGAGGGACATTTCCCCAACACTGAAAAAAACTTTGACTTTTTGTTGCAAAAAAAAGTAAAATGTCCATTAAACAAAAAGTCAAAAATGGGAAGGTGTTTGAAAAAATAGCAATAAGTAACAGTAACAGGAAGGAATTTCTCGAACCATGAGAAAACGAGGGATAAATCTGAATAGCCATACAAATCGTGGCATTTTACTTGTGGTACTAATGGCTAAAATGAATCCTATTACAACTCCCTCGAAGACAGGTTGGGCGGGATGGTGCATTAAAAAAAACTGTGGCACAC